AATCAAGGCTTCCTACTATTACTGCTGCTTGCATCATGTGTGCCATATCTTAATTAATTTGCTTTCATGATTATGCAGCATGCATTCTCAGTTAGGAGTTGATGTTACCAACAAAGGAATGAAAAATGATCCTGAGATGATGAAAAAGACCTTACCTGTTTATGTAGAAATTACAGATATACATACAGTTCAGAGCTCTAGCATATCAGTGGTATTAAAATGGCATGGGGGAAAGGGACTGTTAGGGAAATATTATCTATATTGTCTCCCTAAGGGACAATGAAAAAGAAAAAGAACCCAGGATTAGAGGACGCAGTATCAAGTACGTTATACTCACTATGAATTTATCAACATGGTTAGGTCATGATACTGAAATTGGAATTATGCAAAAATAGAAGATGACCATATCAGAAAACAAAGTGGATTATGACTACATCATTACATGACTGCCAAATGACATCACTACTTGCCTGCCAAGCTGCTTATAATCCTGGCACAGTGAGGTTGGCATGTACCCTTACCTGTCAGAGCCAGCAGTACACTCACATTACATGTTGGTGTTCTTTACTGCCAGATATGCATTGCTAATGTATAAAAACTGTAGATTTTTACTGTTGTTGTAAGCGTGAAATGTCAGAAGGGATCGTTACAAAGTGAGGAATAGATCTATTTATTTTTAAAAGTTTCAGTCTTGGAGAAAATGCCCAAATAGCCTCAATTTCTCCCAACTTTATATATGTTATCATTAGGAGTACTTAGTCCGCAGATGGAAATCTAATCTATGTCCTATTTTACATAGTCCCCCTTTTTTTGTTTTAACTTTGGAGCATATGAGGGTAAGTCAAAAATTATCTGCACTCTGGCCATTGAAAACCTTTAACCTACTCTCTATCACTATGACTATGCCTATTTTATATACTTCAAATATAAGTGGAGTAAAATGATATTTGCTCTTTGAGTCTTATTTATCTCACTTAGCATAATGTTTTCAAGGCTCATCCATAATACATGTATTAGACCTACACTTGATTATTTATGATTGAATGATAATATTGCACTATATGTATATATGATGTTTTGTTTATCCTTTCATCTGTTGAGGGAATCTTGTTTGGTTTCCATGATTTGGCTATTGAGAATAATGCTGCTATCATAGTGTGGCACTGCACTGCTAACTGAAAGGCCGCCGATTTAAACCCACCAGCTGCACCATGGAAACCCTATATAGGGTCACCATGAGTCAGAACTGACTAGATGACACTAACAACAATAACAACAACAATCAACATTCAAATACAAGCACCTGTTTGAGACTCTGTTTTCAATTCTTTTGGATATAGCCTAAAAGTACAATTTGTAGGTCAGACTGTAATTATGGAGTCCTCCTGTGGCGCTGGAGGGCAAGGTTGGTTTGAACCACAAGG